CTGCTGGGGAGAGACTTCTACCCACACTGCTGCTGGAGGAAAAGCAAATGCTGGCTGCCTCCCCAGGGCAGGCAGTAACAGGCTGCTGCTGCTCACACTCTCCTCCTCCTCCTTTCAGCTCCATCTGCTGCCGGACTGGGTGGTGCCAGAGGTACCTGCCTTGGCAAAGGGGGACTTTCACATCAAGTTGGGCAAGTATCGAGCAAGTTCTTAGGATCATGATCCTTTCTTGGCTCTGGAGGCACTTTCCCATGAATAAAAAACACCCATCTCTGTCCTGCCAGGCCCAACACCTTCCAGATCCTCCCAGTTCTCTTGCCATGTCATGTGGCTGAACACTAACGACTTCCCAGCCAGGATGGTCATTAATTCCTCATATTAAAGGCATCTACTCACTGATTAATATCTTTGGGCCCTTTTGTTGTCTTCCTCAAGTGTCAGCCACTTGATCAACTCGATAAACTTCTATGATGAAATGGCTGGCTTGGTAGATGAGGAGAGAGCAGCAGACATTGTGTACCCTGGCTTCAGTAAGGCCCTTGACACTGTTTCCCATAAGATCCTCAGAGAGAAGCTAAAGGAAGTACGGGCTGGGTAAGGAAACAGTGAGGTGGACCAGAGCATGGTGATCAGTGGCACAAAGTCTAGCTGAAGGCCAGTAAGTGCTGGTGTACCCCAGAGGCCAGTACTGGGTCTGATCCTGTTTAGCATTTTCATTAATGACCCAGACATGAGGCAGAGTGTATTGTCAGCAAGTTTGCTGAAGACACAGAACTGGGAGGAGTGGCTGACACACCAGAGGGTTGTGCTGCCATCCAGAGGGACTTCTACAGGCTGAAGATGGTGAAGAGACTGAAGCATCTCTTCTATGAGGAAAAGCTGAGAAAGCTGGGACTGTTCAGTATGGAGAAGGCTCAGGGAGATCTTATAAATGTGTTTAAATACCTGAAAGGAGGGTGCAAATAAGACGGAGCCAGGCTCTTCTCAATGGTGCCCAGTGACAGAACGAGAGGAAACTGGCACAGACTGAAACACAAGAGAAACATCAGGAAATGCTTTTTTACTGTGAGGGTGACTTAACACTAGCCCAGCTGCCCAGAACTGTTGTGGAGTCAGTCAAAGCCATCTGGAGACAGTCAAAGCCATCAGGGCTACTGGTGCAAGGAACCCTGCTTGAACAGAGGAGGTTGGACCAGATGAGCTCCAGGTGTCCCTTCCAACCTCAACTACTCTGTGACTCTGTGAAAGGGAAGAAAGCATTATGCTTAAGAAAGAACATAGGAAGAACCATTAACATGCTGATCACAGGAAAATAGCATGATGAAGAACATTTCAGACTAGGGAACATCAGGTTGCTAAAGCCTCAGTCCCCTAGAAGTCAGGCTGGTGAAAGAAGCCTGAGGCAGTAGCCAGCCCTGAAGGAGCACACAGACTATTTCCAGGTTACCTGCTGTCGAATAATGAACAGTGCACACAAATGGGAGCAGTACATCTTGATCCACTCTGACTCAAGGGATTGCTTCCTATGGAAGCAGTTCACTTACTTATGTATCCAACCCCCTTTCACATTGCCCCATGCTCCCAAGAGCCTACAGAGACTTCTTCCAGCTCCCTGCCTCCTCCACCCATCCGTGCCAAGGATGGCTGGAATCTGGGAGGTGAGATGAAGTTGCCTCTACCCCCAGCCAGGGTAACAGAGGCATCCCTAGGCTCTCCCTGGGCCTTGCCCAGAGCAGACAATTCTTGATGCTTGGCAGGTTGCTGCTTACATCATCCAACCAGTGGTTGCCACAGTAACGACACTTACAGATGAAGGATATGAGGCTACTGGGTGCTGTGCGCCTTGCCTGGGTGTTATCTCTTTTGCACAGCAAGAAATGATGGTGCAGTTTTCTGAAGGTGAGAAAATAAACACCCTACACTACGCAGAGTCAGGCTTCCCATCTCCTTCACCCTCCTGTGCACTGCCACAGCCTCAGTCTCCATAGCCCCGTGCTCCCTGGCAACTGCAGTGCCTCTTTGAACTGATTTAGACAAGAAGAATCAGCCATCTGGGCAGGAACCATCTCTTTTTTTTTTAGTTTCAACAGCAGACCTGCTTTGCAGCCCCACCAGACCCACCCCAGGCAAAGACCTTGATCCCCATGAGGATCACAGACTCCTTAGTGCCAGCAGTGGGACTGATGTCTGAAGAGCTTGGATGGAGAACTCACCCTCCCTCAGGGACCCTTCCAGTCTAGTTTTTCCAGTAAGATTTGCTGGCACCTTCATTATGAGCAGAAGGAATAGCAGCAGAAGGAAGCTGTACCAAGGCAAAGCCTGGCAGACCTGATGGATCCCTAGAGTGCTGCTTTCATCCCCATTCAAAGCAAGAGAAGCCCTATGGCCAGAGGCAGCACTTATCCCTCTGCTTCCATCACAGGGGAGAAGCAGCATTTACAGGATGGGGGTCACCTCTGCGTGGTGTCCTCAGCTACATGAAGAACCAAGGGAAGGCTGGCTAGAGCCTATTCCCTTTCTGCTCCCTTTGCTTCATAGCAAAGCCCTCAGGGAGAGGTGCACCAGACCAAAAGTAGCTCCATAGCCCTAAGGGACAGAGGTCAACCATCATCTCTGCTAAGCTGTTTTCAGCAGCAGCCACCTGAAAATCTACTCTGCAGGCTAACTGTTCAGGAGCCAAAGGACAAACTCCAAAGTCTCTTTGGAGAGGGCCCAAAAGCAGGCTGATACAATCCAACTAGCTACTAGATTCCCTTCTGTTTCCTGACGTGCCAGCCTACAAGACCACAACCTCCAGCCTCCTGTCTGCTGCCTGGGAGAGCTGGGAAAAACAGAGTGAATGAAGCAGAGAGCACAAGAAGGACTCAACCTCAAAGCACCCTAGAAAAAGAAGGGGCAACTGCTGGAGATGCTCTTGAAGGGAGTACCAGTCCTCTGGTTGTCCAACCACTGGAGATGGGACAGAAAAAAATGAAGAGACAAACATGTAAAAATGGGACCAATTAAGATGACAGGAAGTCTTCAGATAACATTTTTTGGGTGTTTTGTGGTGGGTTTTTTTTTGTTTGTTTTTTTTTTAGTATTGGAGAGCTGTTTCCTAAGTTGTTTTGGAAGGGGAAAAAAAAAAACAAAACAGACAACAAAAGACACAGTACCTGGAACCATCCTAGGGCCAGTAAGTTGCAGCTAGCTCTGCCATGTGAGCTGACACAGCAATAACTTACACTGAGGCTGGTTGTTCAGCTGAACAGCTGATCTCTCAAGCACGAGATGTGACGCTTGGTTACCACCAACAGCTGTTAAAGGGATCTGACAGACACAGGGCAGGATTTGGCTCCCATGTGAGGAAGGGAGGCAAAATACATTCAAGCGATTTCAAACACTCTTCTTATCCAATCTGTTTTCTCCCTCCTGCCTGGGAGCACAGCCAGACTGAGGGAGAGGACACAGGCATGGCAAGCTATGTCCTGGTGAAGGTCACCTCCAGGGGTATGGTGACACCCACCTCCCCCTTCACTCAAAGCACCCCACACCACAGCCCCACCTCACGGCCACCTCAACACCAGCCCTGAGACCCCAGTAAGAGACAGCAGCAAACAGCACCACGCAGACACCATCCACTCCTCTTGCTTGTCCAGCAGCACCCCCTTGAGTGAGGAGAGATCATCTCCTCATCTTCGAGACCCTCAAAGATACCCAGGCCATTCTCAGCAAGATGGGACCACAGGAAAAAACAACAAACCAAACAAAAAACCAGAGGAGCCCATTTCCAGCCTACGCTCACACTTTATTATATACAGAGACATGGTGAGTGTAAGAACATCAACATGGGACATGGACAGCAAGGGAGGCCCAAAGGCACTGCCCCCCTGTCCCCTTGGCGCAACCAGTCAGCATAGTTTATACAAATAATACAGTATTTGAACAATAAATAAGGTCAATAAATAAGATCAAGAAATTAAAAAAAAACCAAAACAACCCAAAATAAACCAATGTATTAAGACAAAGCAGCAAGGAATGATTTTGAGGGCTGCGACACATTCACAGCAGTGACAACACCACCAACACCTCACCAGCACACCAGCAGCTGGAGCACAGAACCCCATCAGCCCTTTTCTCTCACCCTACTATGGCAAAACCCACTGAGGAGGGGGAACTGGGGAGAGTCGTACAGGTCACTACTGCTGTGCTGTCATGGTCTAGGAGCCTTGTCTCCTTCACAAGCCCCTTCCCAAAGGGTGCTTGAAAGCCAGGTACAACCGCAGACCCACTGTGCGCAGTCACAGCTTGTCTGTTTGGCACCAAAAAAAACAACCCCTCAGACCAGTTTCTTCTCTCTCTCGAGTCCTTCAGGTGGACACTGGCACAGTTATTAACTGAGTCGGGGTGGGGGGAACATCTCTAAGGAACAGGGGAGATAAGAGATGAGGAGATGCTCCCTCTCACTTGTGGGAGGCAGTGATGCTCTCACTCATCACTCTGGCACACTCCTTCCACGTGCCCTGGCACCAGTGGAGACCGGTGTGCGTGGGTGACACCACCAGCTGGTCTCCTGGCAAGGAGGGGGTTACCACAAGGACTGCAGGGATGCAGAAACCCTGAGTCACGAGTGATGGGACAGCAGTAAAAGGCCGCCACTGGTTATCTAAGAGAAAAATAATAGTAAGACAGCCAGTCCCTCACCCCTGCAGGGGGAGAGGCCACACACACACATGATTGGACCCCCCTGTCAGCCTCAAGGCCTCCAGCTCTCCTCCAGAGATGCTGGCAGCTGGCATGAGGGAGAGGACTGTCCGCCACGGATAGCTCTCAGCAGAAAGGAGACACCTTGAATCCTGCTCCCTCCTGCCAACCCCCCCCCATCATTTTGCCCCCAGAGAAGGGCGACGGAACGCGAAGAAACCGGTAATTTGAGGGAATAGGGCAGTGAGAGAGAAATGGGAACAGATGGAGATCTGGGATGGGGAATCCAACCCCTCCGCCCTCACATGTACAGCCCGCTACTCATCCAGGCCCGGTATCAAGTCTGCAATGCTGTCCACATAGTAATTGGGCACCAGATCCTGAGCGGCGGGGCTGTCGCTGGCCATGTAGGCCTGCGCCTCCTCCAGGCGGGAGACCCCCGTCAGGGTGAGGATGGTGGAGAGCCCGCAGTTCTTGCCGAACAGGATGTCCGTCTCCAGGCGGTCTCCCACCATCAGGGTGCGGGACGGGTCGACGCCGAAGCGCTCCACGATGCAGTCGAACATGTAGGTGTTGGGCTTGCCCACCACCAGCGCCTTGCGGCCCGACGCCGTCTCCACCGCGGCCGTCAGGCTGCCCGTCCCTGCGGGGGGATAAGGAGAGGGATAATCCCGCTGTGGCTGCGATGGGGCGGGGGGGGAAACGGGACACGGGCTGCAGGCAGCTCA